AGAGCTCTCTTTTCAATTGTTTTTTGTTTGATAACTTTGATTTAAGTTCGGCGTTCTCTTGTTTTAAAGCGTCAATTTTACTGGTTAAAACCTCTAGATCTTCGTAAGGAAAGTCCGTTTGAGTTCCTTTGTCGTTAGGAAGAAGGTGGCAATAATTGTGATCTAAAAGGGCTGCATCGTCGCTTAAGAAACAAATGTCTTTGTCTTCCTCGGTAAGGCTTCTCTTTTGAGGTTCAGGACATTTTTCATCAACAGCACGTCTCTTTCTGTCCTCCAGTCTCTTTTCACGGGAAGAAACACGACATTGGTGGGTCGAGGGATTAAAATATTTCGGTAATTCACCTGGAATAACTTCTTTTTCTTGACAAAGCGACTTTTTGATGGATGAAGCCTCGAAGTGTGCGCTGCAAAATCCGGGTTTTTTTTTCATTTTGGAATTTGGGATCACAACGTCTACAGAAGTTTTTCCATAGCCTTCTAAAATGCCCTGAAGGAAAACAGAAAAAGGATAGATCCGGACGATTCCTTGAACTGTTCGAGCAGTTTGCTACCGAACAAAAATTCACCATGACTTTTGCAAAACTTGGAGCATTTCAACTTACAGTGAAGACAGTGAATGCATTTCTATTTTTTTATTTTCCCAGCTATCCTCTAAGCCTCGTTTACATGCAAGTACCTAGTTCTCAGGAGCGCGCGTCCAATAATTTCGAAAGGACCCTATTGGAGAAGGCATATTGGATGTATTCCGAACACCAAGATTTTCGAAGACGCCTATGGAGACTTTTTGACTGGAAGGGCAAGGCTATAAAGTACGTAATGCTGGAATATTCCTTCAAAGGTGAAGAACGCACCATTCATCCTTTGCCGCATCGCAGCTCCAAAAATGACAAGCCATTTCTTCGAACTGAAAAAAGCACCAAAGATAGGGTGAAATCCTTGGTCGAAGACGGAAAAAGACCGTCAGAGATCTATGATAAAGTTTTTGAAGAAAAAGGTGGCTTGATGAAAGCAGAATCTCTGTCCTCACTTCCTCGCCACTCTCAGGCCGCTAATTTTAAAAGCGCACAGGAAGAAGATTCTCAGAAGGATGAGCTTTGGGCGATTGCAAATTTGGCCAAAAAGGAAGTGAGCAATGGCACTCCTTTTGTAAGGTACAGAGACTGTTGTACCGGCAATGTGTTTCTCCCAGATGATAGACAACTAGACGACCTGCAACGTTTGTGTACAAATCCACAGCATTTTGGAGTACTCGGCGTGGACACTGTTTTCAACTGTGGCAATTTTTATGCAACACCGACGACATATCCCCATCTTCTACTGGTTGATAAGACCACTTTGAAATCTCCGACAATGTGAGGCCCAGTTACTGTTCACAAACAGTTAAACACTGAGTGTTACGATTACCAAGCAGCGTCGCTGACCAGGGCTAAGCCAGCATTGAGGAATGTCCTGGCCGTAGGAAGCGATGGTGACAGCAAGGTTTTCAATGGTATGAAGCAGCAATTTCCCGCTTCTACGTGGGTGCTCTGTAAGAAGCATGTAGAGGACAACGTAAGACGCTATTTGACGAGCATTGGTATTACTCGCAATGATCAGCAATTATTCATTGGTGACATTTTTGGCGATATCCAACAGCGAAAAAGTGGCTTATCAGATAGTGTTGCAGGAATGTAATTTGACGAGCGACCTAAAGCTGCCAAAGATCGCCGGGATCTAAAGGAACTCAGCATACGCATGTTAAAGAAGCCCAGTTTTGCTCCTGGTTTGTGCGATACAAGGCTGATGAGATCAAGGAGAAACTCTTTTATCCTGTTCGAAGGGATGTTGGTCTTGGCTACGACTTCTATTACAACAATGCAAATGAGTCGATCAGTAACTCGGTGAAATGAAAAAAGGACTACAAACGTTGTAAAGAAATCGTGGAATTCACCGAAGAAGTGAGAGAAATCAAAGACATTCAACAAAGAAATGTTGAACGTGCTGTGATAGGGGAGGGGCCTTTTCGTTTGCACAATAATTACGCAAAGGAGCCGGAGGTCGATCCTGATATCTGGTTCCACAGATGACACCACCACAACGTCAGCAACACCTCGATAAGCTAATGTCCACAGAGGTTAAGCTACCAGAATCACAACTTCATGATGATGCAGGTGCAGGCCCTAAACCAACTGAAAGCCGCCCTAAATCAACTGATGCCATTCGCCACCTATCAATGTCATTCGAAGAGTCTGGCTTATCAAGACTTGTGCATGCAGGATCATGGCAAAAAGCAAATGAATTGGTTGCCAAAGAAAATGCAATGTACCCGGTCCCTGGGACACGCGTTTTTTGTGGAAAGTGCAAGGGGAGGACAAACGTCTGTTAAGAGGCACAATGGATATACAAGTACAATAATTATACTTGTATACCCATTGTGTCTGTCTTATTAGTAAAGAGGGTAGTGATATTGTTGAGCCTACTTCCCTGTGCATTTTGCTGTTGACATAAGGAGTTACCTTAT